TTTCTCGTTGAGTTAATTAACTGTTTTGATCGTAAATTACGCATCAAAACTACTGTTTACACTTTAATTGAATCTACTCCAGTTAAAGTGATATTGTATTGATTGTTTTGATTCTGCTTTTGTGTAATTACTGCACCAAAGCATACTTGGTCGACTTTTACTTGATAATTTAGTCAAGGTTTTAGCATTTTTTTTTACATATCCTCTTTGTATCACCATTGTATTTGGTTTTCAAGATGGCCAAATCGGCTCATAAATCTGGACAACCATGTTGCTTATTCCCCGTGGAGGAAGGGATGCAATGTGATGAATGTAAGAAGTGGTTCTACAAGATGTGCACCCGACTAAGCCCCGCTTCATATAAAAGGTGCTCGAAGCCCAACTCTCATTGGCTTTGTAGTTTTTGTTGCTCAAACAAAACAACACTCATCCAGGAAGCCATTAGCCCCCTGGTGTTGGCTAATAAGAAGGTTGACGAGGGCTGCACTGACAATATTGGTGCTGATAGCGAAGATCGCGTTAGTGTCGTAAGTGCTGTCACGGCGCAAGTCAGACATCTAACTGCGCAACCCGAGATCAAAACTTTTACCTCGAAACAATCAATGAGTGACACCTCACTAGATATTGGTGGCCATGTTGCTACAGCAGCAACTGGTGATCCAGATAAAACAATTATTGTCCCGAGCAGTTCCGATGTAGATGCTACGGCTGACGGAATATGGATGACGTGTAAACGCAGAAGAGTAGGAAAGACGGCTAAAAGTAAGGACCGTTTACTTGATAAGTCTTTGGTGGTCCCAAAGTAAAGCCTCGTCAAACATTGTTGTGAGTCACTCGCTCGACTCCAATGACTGTGTTACAATAAAAACTAATCGTAAGATACCAATAGTTAATATACAGGATGTTAGGTCACGATCGATAGCTGTAAACACGATTCCTAAAGAAACTGAACCACTCCCTAGCTTAATTATTTGGAATCTAGAGGAGTCGATAGACAACGATCCTGCTAAGAGACATGCACATGATCTGAATTTAGTAGAATCCGTGGTAAGAAGCGTACTACCTGAAGAGGTTTCAGGAGTACATATCACGAAAGTGATACGACTCGGTAAATGAGTTAGAGGCGAGACCTAACCAAGAAGAATCTTGAAGCTTGTTCTCGAGAATTTTGAAGAAAGAGATATATTATTGAAAAGCGCACAGAAAACTCGTGATTCAAATATTCGTATCCGACCAGATTTGCCGCTTGAGGATCGAATCATGGGGAAGAATGCTCTGACGGAGTTGAGAACTCGGAAGTTAAATGGCGAAACTAACCTTACCATTAAGGGTTTTCGGGTATTCAGGTCTTGGAAGCCACTGCTTCCGAGGCCTGTATGGGTGGAACGAATGATTACCAAAACACCTTAAGTGTGTGCTACACGAACGCCCGTAGTCTTAGGAATAAAACGTCCGAGCTAAGTCTGATGGTGGATGAATTAAGTCCCGATATAATTGTCGTTACAGAAACTTGGTTCACCGTAGATATAGAACGTTCTCCCATCATTGTAGGCTATATCTGTATTAGAAGTGATAGAATTTTAAGCCGCAAGGGGGGAGGCATAATGTCATACATTAGGGACCACTTTCGTATACAATCAATCATATCGGAGGCTCATGTTAGTGGTACATGTGGGTTAATGACTATAGGGGGAATATACCGTAGTCCGTGTTGTCTTGCTAACGACTTTATCTTAAGACACATCTGTTCTTGGAGTATGGCAGAATGTTGCCTCATCATTGGGGACTTCAACGCTCCGCACATAAACTGGATAGAGCTTACAACTCCAGGTGGAGGTTTCGATAGCGAACTTTTATCAACAGCTATTCAGTGTGCACTTGTCCAATGTATCACTAAACCGACACATATTGATCTGAAACATGATCCGTCACTGCTGGACCTTGCCCTCACCCACCACTGTGAGGACGTCTTTGATATTCAGCACCTTCCTCCAATAGTGAACAGTGATCACGTTGTACTTCACTTTAAGTTTAGGACACATGGTATACGATTTGTATCTGCTCCACCCTGTCCCAATATCTGGCGGACTAATATTCCGGCAATCAGAGACTGTGCGATCTCTACTGATCGGTCGGTTGACGCAGATGGATCGATCGAAGACGAATGGATTAAGTTTAAGGCTACATTCGAGTCCGTAACGTTGCCGTTTATCCAATGGTCAGCACGTAAGCTATCGCATTGCCCTCCATGGATTAATAAGGAAACCCGTAAGCTGTTAAAGCGTAGGAAACACTTCTGGGACTTATTCTTGTTGACAGGTCATGCATCTTTTAAGCGTGAGTACCAAAAACTCCGGAATATTTGTAAGAAAACAATAGCTAAATCCCGTATTACTTACGAACGACAGTTGGTATATGATAGCCGTACTTGTCCAAAACGATTGTTTTCGTATGTTAAACGGCAAATAAAACGTAGTAACAGTATTCCCCCATTATTGTTACACGATAATTCAGGTTTACTAGCTGAATCAGATCGAGCGAAAGCTGAGACATTTTCAAACTACTTTAGCGAAGTCTACTCTACGTTAATTGTAACAAATACTTGTCCCAATCACACCGAGATACCAGCCATTGAATCGGTACAGGTGACTGAAGAAACTGTCCTTCCGTTAATAATTAACCTCAAACCTTGTAAGATACCGGGTTCTGACGGGTTACATCCACAACTGCTGTCATCTCTTGCAGAAATTATTTCAAAACCGCTCGCGACACTCCTTAACATGTCCCTTTCACTCGCTTAACTACCTAGGGATTGGAAAGATGCTATTGTCAGTCCTATATTTAAGGATGGTCAGAGACCCATCGTATCTAACTACCGACCTGTCAGTCTGACTGGCATTGTCGTTAAGTTACTTGAAAAGATAATTCGGTTTAGGTTGCTAAGCCACATAGATTCACACAATCTGTTAGCTCCTGAGCAACATGGATTTCGTGATAAGCCTTCATGCTTGACTAACTTACTTATTGCGAGAGAGGATTGGACAGCAGCCTTAGATAAAGGTCTGTCTGTCGATGTGATATTCATAGATTTCAGCAAAGCATTTGACAAGGTTTCACACTCAGGTCTTATGCAGAAGCTCACAAGCTTCGGAATAATAGGTACTGTACAGGAGTGGATAGGAAACTTCTTACGTGACCGCAGACAGAGAGTGAGGGTTAATGGGACGCTATCCGATTGGAAGCCGGTCAAAAGTGGTGTACCCCAAGGCACCATATTAGGCTCTCTGCTATTCCTTCTCTACGTAAATGAATTACCGCTGTTGCTTAGGTCGTCGACATTATTATTTGCGGATGATGTCAAAATATGCAGAGCAATAAGAGGTGAGCCTGATCATCTGGATCTTCAAGCTGACTTAGACGATTTAGTTAGATGGGCTCGAGATTGGGGTTTAGAAATCAATTCTAGGAAGAGTGTGCTAATGCACATCGGTCACGGCAATAGTTACCATTATACTATTGATGGTAAACCTCTTCCAAGCGTTCAAGAACATAAAGACTTAGGAGTAATAATAAGTCATGATTTAAAAACAACTTCGCACTGCAACGCAGCCGCTGTCAAAGGTTTTCGTGCGTTGTGGTCACTTCGTCGAGCGTTCAAATCCTTTGACGAGGAAATGTTTCGAATTTTATATCCCACCTATGTAAGACCACATTTAGAGTACTGTATTCAAGCAGCTAGCCCATGTCTGATAAAGGATACTACCTCACTTGAGCGTGTCCAGCGTGTGGGAACGAAATTAGTGAAGGGTCTTTCTAAACTCCCTTACGATGAGCGTTTAAAACGCCTAAACCTTTTCCCCTTGTCGTATCGTAGGACTCGAGGTGACCGTATACTGGCATTTCGTATCTTTAATTATGATTTGGGTGTTAATATGTCTTATCTTTTTGCTCCCTCCAGCACTAATAATCTCCGAGGTCATAGCAAGAAGGTTCATAAACCACGATCTAATAAACCCAAAGCGGGGTTCCGTTTTTCTCATCGAGTAGTCAATGATTGGAACGCTTTGCCCGATCAAGTGGTATCAGCCCCATCAGTGAATATTTTCAAAGAGAAACTGGACCTTCACTGGAAGCCAACCTGTTAGGATTAACACAGGTTCACTAACCTACTATCCTTATTACTGAAGACTGAAGACAGATACGCAACCAAGACGATATACAGGCACTTCAGGAGGATCTGACTCGACTTCAAAGTTGGGAAGACGATAACGGACTTACCTTTAACACTTCGAAGTGTAAAGTAATCAATCTGCGACATGTCGCAGACTACAGTCATAACTTAGGAAACTCCTCTCTAGTAGTATCCCGAGTCGAAAATGATTTCGAAGTGCTGGTGCCCCACGACTTAAAGTCTTACGCTAACTGGGACAGAAATGTCTTTCAAGCAAACCTTGCATTGGTAACAGTGAAGAGCATTTTTGGTCAGTTCGACGGGAGAACTTTCCACATAATCTTTAACAGTTTTATTCGTCCCTATTTAGAGTACGGAAACATAGTACTCCCTCCTACACTCCAAAAGGATAAGAACACTCTGGAGCGTATCCAACAGCGAGCCACGAAATCAGTTCGGGGACTCAAACTTAAACCTTATGAAGAGCGCCTCCAATTACTTGACCTTTACCCATTGGAGTATAGGCGTCTTAGAGGTGACCTAATGACTTACAGTATCCTTAACACTTCTGGACACTAACCTAAAGGGTAACACCCAGAAATTGGAGATACAACATAGCAGAACGGACTGCAGGCACATTTTCTACTCCTTAAGAGTTGTTAAACGCTGGAATTCGCTTCCGGCTGAGCTAGTCCAAGCAACTTACCAGGAGTCCTTTAAGAGGCGACTTGATATATTCTTAAGGACTAAGGATAAAATCTTACTATGATTTACTAATTTCTTTTTCCTCTTTTATCGTTAATACACCTAGGTTCCTGCCTAGAGGTATTGGTGATCCTCTGCTACTAGACGCGGAAGCCTGTTAAGCGAAAACTTTTTCTATTCCGTCACACCATTTGAACCCGCGTTAATGGACTACAAGGTCAATTCCGCGATAAAACATGCGCCTAAATATTGTTGTTGCAGTTTCTGAAAACTGGGGTATCGGGAAGGGTGGAAATTTGCCTTGGAAAATTAAGTAAGGTTCAGCTTCGATAACATACCGGGTCGGTTAATATTTTAAAGTAACCATTTATAATTAAGACACTCAAATTTTTCGATCGAATAGTTTACAGGGTTTTAGGAGACAATGGATACTTTAGGCAGTTCAAGTAGACTATGTCTTCGTTAAAAAATTGCCCTTAAAGGTTGGTTAAATAGCCCTTTAATTCTGGATAAAACTACCTAAAATTTTATCACGTTTGACTACCACATCCCTACAGGTATCTACTTTTAGAAGTCTGGTGCAGATAGATATTTTAGTGATTCCTAAATCAGCAATGGTTACTTTTCATATTTTTATGGACTTGCTGATGGATTTGGGTTGTGTACGTATAAGTTCAGCGTACTTTTCAATCAACATATATTACACATATGTAATATATGCCCCTCAATTAATAAAGCTGAAGAATCAAATTCTAGAATTTATTATTAGTGTTGGATTTTGTGAAAAACATGCAATTAGGTTCAATTTGTGAGCCACATGTTTTAGGACCTGATTCACAATTCTGTTGTAAACGATAAGAGTATTGTTCGAACTGACTTAACTATAGTGTCCCAATGTTCAAAAGTTAGGTACTGAAACCGTCAACCTTACGCGACAAGCAAGTCTTTTTTTAAATACTTCTTTTGAAAACTTTGCTACTGATGTTTTAGCGGTTGCTTATTTTTATGAAAAATTTCATTATAAATGTGAGCTGTCAGTGAGCAATAGACTACATCCCGCCCCACCAATACACTGTCAAAGAAAGTAAAAGTATGGTAAATAGTTGGAATGGGAGAAATGTCTTATCAGTAAATAAAGTTGACAAGCAGTATTATTATGTATTGAACTGTACAATTTAAGTGAGAAAACAATCCAGAAAAATTTTTACAAATCAGTAAAAACATCTTTTATTCTAAGCTATGTTTGACAGCCCGAAGCCATAGAGTTTCGGGATGTTTGGCATACCACCAGCGAATTTTTAGCAAGTCAAGTTGTTAATTTAACTGGTACATATTTCATCCTACGCGGCTGTAATAAAATAGTTGAATTGGTTTTATATACTTAGCCCTAGTATCTGAAAATAATATGTAATATTGATGATCGTTGGGATATGTGTAGGCTAGTCAAGACATCGAATTCAGTATTTGGATACAATAATACTCATAAAACGCCATTCTGCCTTACTCTAAAACATGTTCTTCAGTCCTACGACTACTTACTAAGAGTTTCTACCAAGTCTTAGCAGTCTTGAAGACAATAATAACCTAAAATGGGACTTCTGAAATAACCATTGGAAACCTGATCGGGTTTTTCAGCATCAAATAATTTTACCATCATACTATACACTTATCCTCTTGCAGCTAGACTAACGACGTGATAGAGCAAACCTGGCGCATATTAGGCTTTTTGGCGAGACTACAATTTATTGACGAACCAATCAGGTATAAGATAACAGATCTCGGATTTCGGCGCGAAATTCACCCATCTCTTTGGCTAAATAGAATTTTGGCATTATTGCTGATGTCAGTTCGTGATGAGAACCATAAATGTAATTCTTAACTAACCATCAACTGTAAATCACAATTCTACTTCCTCACACTGGGTTCATAAAACTCATTTGGTCCTAGTTATTAGGTGAAGACTCTCATGGTCAGTTTAGCGTCACTCAAAGGTCGTCCATAAATTATAGTCTCAGCACTTTCCACTTATTCTCATACGGGGCGATTTTAAACAAACTGTCAACATTATATGGATACTTCAGTGATTGTGGTTAATGTAACGTAGGTTTGTTCCAACAAAGTAACTAGATCAAGTGTTTGTGAAATGATTATTCTTCCAGCCTAGTGCTCCTTCGATTAATGACATTATCAAGTAGTGGTTATTTGGTTTTTTAAAGGGCCCCAAATGCCCTGGTATGACCGAGAGTGGAGTGGGCCCTTCCTCTCGAAATGCTCTCATACGGCCTAGCGTATACAGCCTCTGCCAGGGAAGTCCTACTCACTGCCTTCTCATGGCGAGGGTTCGTTTACGAAAATAAGGAGACGAAAAGCGAATGTCCGGCGCTTTAACCGGATCTCAAATCAATGGTTTACATGGGCACCAGTATCCTGAGGGAACAAATGGCGTATGAACCAATCGTTGGTCACCGGCTACCATGGGACTGCATCTCCTTATGATGCTCCACTGCCTTGTGGGTCAGACATTCACGTCGAAGGCTCGGGGTGTAGCCCCTTAAGAAAATCACCTGCTTTGGTTTGGGCACCCGGGCAGTATCACGGCCCACGCACAAATAAAATGAAAATGACGGTTTTTTAAAGGGTAGGTCTTAGGTTCGAACCAGGCATCATCTACCTAATTTTTAGCCCTAGAATTTTATTTATTATTTATTTGAACACAAATATTGGTACAAGGGGGCACCAAATATATATGCGCCACACAAAACAATCAGAATTTAAGAAGGGAAAAAACTAAAAAACGTAGGGAATTATAAAAAAGAGAAAGAGAACAATAATGGGAGAAACGGAAAGGTAGAATCAGAAGAAATCTTTCAGTTAAGGAAGAAGCAACCACTTTTTATGAAGAAAGTAAAAGAAAGATACAGCAGAATCGCCACTGGCTTCTATTCTGAGCCATATCTGATAACGTTTCTAGCCACTGTGTTACACCATCTCTCGGACCCCAACCAGGGAGTCATGAAGGACCAACAGAAGCCAGCCCTTAGCAGCTTTCTTTCATACCACGACACCATGTCATATACTGACCACCTCTCCGCTTTTTCCAACCAGTCCCAGAGTCGACAAATAATGTACGACGTGGAATTCTCTGGGACGACATTCGTAGAACATGTCCAAGCCACCGAAGTCGGTGTTTCAAGATGGTGACACAAATTGCATTATCGTCTCTGTGTCCGAACACACGATGCCGAACCTCTGCATTACTAACATGGTGTAGCCACTGGATGTCAGCAATCCTTCGGAGACAACGATGATCGAACACAAAGAGTGGTCTAACACCCTCAACTCGGAGAGGCCAGGTTTCACAAGCATAGAGCAAAACTGCTCTCACCGACGCGTTGTAGATCCGACCTTTTACAGCCAGACTAACATCACGAGGGCGCCAAAGGTGTCCCAGATTGGCATAAGCCTCTCTGGCTTTCGCTATACATGCACTGATCTCATCACTCACGCCACCACCAGCACTTGTGCAGCTACCTAGATACACGAACTTCTAGACTACTTCTACCTGCCCACCATCCAGAGTGAGTACAGGATTAGAATGCTGCCAGTCTTGTAGAAGTACTTTGTACTTCGAGGGTGCAAAACACAAACTATACCTACGGACATTGATTGCCAACTGATTGAGTGCGGATTGCATGGCTTGGGCATTCTCGCACAGTAAGACAATATCATCCGCATGTTAGTTATTGGCGTTCCGTCATCCTCGCAGATTGTTTTGCTCACACCAGACTCCTTTCTGCCAGTGGCTCGGATGAGTTGGAAGAGCTTCGGGTAGTTATCAGATGCAGCTGCTGCTTCCAGCTCATTAGCATGCTCCGACTACCAGGCTTCTCGGTCCTTATACAAGCTTTTCCCAATTTCAGTACGTAACAGCCTTCGTCTGTGGTCAAACTCACGGTCACCCGGAGTAGACCGACAGGCTTCAATGAGTTGAAAGGAGCCTGAGGAAACCCGGTAGTTATGAGCGGGACGTTTCATGAAGCCACAAGCGGCTTTACTCACCATTTTCATGGCGTCATGCAATCGCAACCAATGCTCATCTATACTTTTCGGTGGGATGGTAGCTAGCCTAGAAGCTAGCTCGGTTCGGTACTTGCTAGCAACAGAAGTTGCAACCAGCTTGCTAATATCAGTCCTTTGGTGGCGGTCACTTCGTTGTCCACTGAAAAGTAAGGTAATATTGGCGCAGACCAGGGCAAGATCAGATTCCAGATAGGTACTCCAAAACGAGCGGCAGTTTTGTGCACAACCGCGCCAGCGGTAGCTGATCGGGATGTGATCAATCTGAGTCCAGGCTTGAGATGCAGAGGGAGGACGCCAGGTGGCACATCGGCGATGAATGTGCCGGAAGTTAGTGCTATCCAGAAACAGGTTGTGGTCTGTGCACAGTTGCAGTAGACGGTCCCCGTTATCTGTCCTGCGACCAACAAGTCTCCATCGGCCACCTAAACGACTTTCTTCTGTGCCTAGGCGCCCGACCTGAGCATTCAAGTCTCCAGCTAGTACTACAATATCTGTCGAACGCACTTTCTGGAGAAGAACAGTTAACTGGCGGGAAGATTCATTCTTGATTGCATCCGGGCTGCAATCTGTCGGGCATAGGCGGAGATGACGAAAAGACATCGTTTCTCACTCCGATTTCTTCTCACTTTGATGGGGCTTTCTAATCTGACAGCACATAAGCGACTGTTAATGGGGATCCAGTCGATTAGTGCTGCCTCAGCTCTAGCGCTTAGTGCTACACCAACGCCAGCAAGACCAGACGAAGGTGCGAGAGGGTCCCCGGATAAACGCACGTAGAACAAGCTTTTTGAAACGACAGATGGAGAGCGAATTTGTAATACTTCACCAGAGTCTTGAATGCGGGTCTCGGATAGACAACAAACGTCTATATTAAAACTTTCCAAAGACATAGCCAGCTCTATCTGTTGTCCGACCTGCATAAGTGTGCGAACGTTAAAGGCAGCCAGTTTGAATGGTGTACGTGGTTTCAGAAAGACTGCTTCAGTACTCTTATTCGATGGTAGCATACAATTTTCAACCAGGCAGTGACTTGAGAACGTTTAGTAGAGCCGAATGTCCACCATAGGCGAGCTGCTGTATAAGTCGAAAAATAAGGTTAGACAGAGTAGGGATAAAAGAGGGTGAATAAATGACGTGGTAAATAATAATAATATTAATTGTTTGACGATAAATCGCAGCGTGAACAGAGTTTTCAGTGAATATCATCATTTTCATTATATTTGTGTGTGGGTTGTGATACTGTCCGGGTGCCCAAACCGAAGCAGGTGGTTTTCTTAGAAGGCCACACTCCGAGCCTTCGACCTAAAGGTCTAACCCACAAGGCAGTGGAGCATCGTGAGGAGATGCAGTCCCATGGAAGCCGGTGACCAAGAAATCGGTTCATACGCCATTTGTTCCCTCAGGATACTGGAGCCCGTGTGCACCATTGATTTTGGATCCGGTTATAGCGCCGGACGTTCGCTTTTCGTCCTCTCATTTTCGTAAATAACACCCCCGCCACGAGAAGGCAGTGAGTAGGACTTCCCTGGCAGAGGCTGTATACGCGTGGCCATGTGAGAGCATTTCGAGAGGGAGGAGGGCCCGCCCCACTCTCGGTCATACCAGGGCATTTTGGGGCTGCTCCAGAATAGTATCAATAACTCTCGTGTAAAAGATATGGCTAAAAGTAGATCACGAACCTGTTTATGATTATCATAACCAATAGTTAGAAACTTTGAATGACACCGCTCAAAATCGTTTTCAATTGCGCAGGTGCATCCATTCTGTCTTCACCCAAATCCTAATATTCTGATGTCCCTGCGACTTTTTTTGTTTTTATTTCGCTACTTTATATTTTCTTTTCTAGTCATTTCTTCGATGCTTAATATTTCCTATCACCACTGATACTTTTACTACCTCTGCTATTCTGGGAATTAGCTTGACAACTTCATTTTTCTATGCTAATGTGGTATGTCAACTTGAGCCGATGTACATACGTACAGGTTCTACATCGTTTGTGACTGGCTAACTATCCTTTCAATGTGGTTCATGTATTATTCTGATCAATAAAATTAACGTCAGAATTTCCTAAAACTAATGTAAACAAGCAATCGACCGAAAAAACTCATCAATTTATTGCTTAGTTACTTTAATTCGTTTGCTTTCAGTCAGCTATTGTAGTCGTTATATAATCCAAATGTTACACTTATGTACTAAGCTTGTTACTTGTTTTCAGGAAAGACATGGAATTTTTCAAATCAGTAACAACTAAAGCTCGTCCAGGTAAAGTTTTTAACGTAAAAAAAAATAAATCCAGGTCTCAAAAATGCGGTTGTTATGGGGAGAGTTACATGGGAATCTATACCAGAGAGCTTCAAACCACTAAAGGATAGAATTAACATAGTGGTATCAAGCACGCTATCACAGTAATTCCTGTTTATAACTTACCAATCCTTTCAAGCGCACCACCATGTGTTCTGATTGTTCCCAATCTTAATGCAGTCATTGACTTGTTATATGATGAAGAATTCAGCTCCATAGTAGATGAGGTTTTTATCATTGGTGGGCATAGCCTTTACAAAGTGAGTTAGATTTTATGCCCTGTTTTGTATCTTTGGAGGCTTCTGCACAATTATTCTAGACTAATTATCCATAGAACATATGGACTTACTAAATATTTTTGTATTATTTCTTAAAATTTATTAACGTTTGCTCTGTTACAGTTTTGATAAACATGTCTATCTGAAAGCGTTACCTTAGGGGTAAAAAAGTATCTTCTTGTGTCTATTTAGATGCAATCTGAATGGAAATTCGGCAGAGTTAATTTCGTTCACTTGACACCTAACAGGCAGTTAAGCTAAGATTTTAGAAAAAATATGTTTGTCATTTGTACGACCATATTTATGAACTTACACCAATCGGATGGTTGGTAGTCATTAGGGGTTTTGTATGCCACTGGACACTTAAAGGAACCACAAAATATTTTTATCTTTTCACGTTTAATGAAAGCAGTAACCATGAACCCTTTATGAAGTCTATCGTTTAGGCAATATTATTGTGTGCAACTGAGTTCGGATTATTTAAACGTAGGCTTTTGTATTTACAAACATCCTATATTTTCTTAATTTAGGAAGCCTTGAAACAATCGATAATCCCGGTTCGTATCTATTGTACGCACATACTAAATGAGGTGGACTGCGATACTTATTTCCCAAAAGTCGATTGGGGTAAACTGAAAAAAGTTGAGTAAGTATTTAAACTCTTCAATACTTATTGTGAGGGTTTTTATTTTATGGATAATTATAAATAAATGAATGAAATTACTAATTTATTTGTAGTTCAGTATTTCGTGGTCATCGTATTTGAAGTCCATCAGCAGATCCAAGGAATATTCATCACAAATCTACTTCTATTTAAATCTCAATGAAACAAGTACAACATTCGAGTAGAATAATATGGTCCATCTTTTTTATGGATATAAGTTGTCTAAAAATGGATTTCCATACATTTGTTAGTTTTTCAAAAAGTATCGATTGAGATAGATGGCATGGAATGCGGACTATTCTATGGCGACAGATGTAAAATCATTCTTAGCAGTCGTTCAACATGTTAACTGTTTATAATTATCACCATTAAATCATCCAGCCCCTAAGGAGTTTTAGGGAATTAGTGAAATAAATGAGTTCATATGGCTTTATTCAAATGTTGTTCTTTCTATATATTCATATTTACTAAATACATCAGTTGGTCATAAATGATGAAGGAGTTATTATAAATATGCATAGGCTTTAGTTTTCGCATTCACAGAATACTAACAATGTATGATTAAACTTGGTCGGTTCCAAAATGCTTTGTAGATCAAACACTATATATAGCCTGTGGTTTTTTAGGAGACTCCATCAGTGGTTCTCCTTTAAGAGGACCTATGTTCAGCACGATGTTATTACTTACTTACTTACGCCTGTTACTCCTCGCGAAGGATCATAGGCCGCTCACCAGCATTCTCCATCCAACCCTGTCCTGGGCAATCTTTCCCAGCTCTTTCCAGTTGTTATTCATCCCTTTCATATCCGCTTCTATTTCCCGACGTAATGTGTTCTTTGGCCTCCTTCTTTTCCGCTTCCCTTCAGGATTCCAAGTTAGCCCTTGTCTCGTAGTGCAGTCTGATGATTTCCTCGATGTATGTCCTGTCCATTTCCATCGTCTTCCTAATTTCCTCTTCAGCTGGAAGCTGGTTGGTTCTCTCCCACAAAAGGCTGTTGCTGATGGTATCCGGCCAATGGATGTTGAGTGTCTTGCGTAGACTTACTTACTTACGCCTGTTACTCCCAATGGAGCATAGGCCGCCGACCAGCATTCTCCAACCCCTTTCTGTCCTGGGAGGGATGCATGATACCGCTACACTACCGGCCCCCAAATGCCCTGGTACGGCCGAGAGTGGGGAGAGTCCGCTCTCCCTCTCGAAATGCTCTCACATGGCCACGCGTACATAGCCCCTGCCAGGGAAGTCCTACTCACTGCCTTCACGTGGCGGGGGTGTTATTTACGAAAATGAGAGGACGAAAAGCGAACGTCCGGCGCTTTAACCGGACCCCAAACCAATGGTGCACATGGGCTCCAGTATCCTGAAGGAACAAATGGCGTATGAACCAATCGTTGGTCACCGGCTACCATGGGACTGCATCTCCTCACGATGCTCCACTGCCTTGTGGGTCAGACGTTCAGGTCGAAGGCTCGGGGTGTGGCCCCCTAAGAAAACCACCTGCTTCGGTTTGGGCACCCGAGCAGTATCACAGCCCTCACACAAATCAATTGAGATTCGTGTGGCGCATATGTATTTGGTGCCTCCTTGTACCAATACCTGTGTGTTAAAATAAATAATAAATACTTCTGTCCTGGGCCTTCTTTTCTAGTTCCATCCAATTCTTGTTCATTTTCCTCATGTCTATCTCCATTTCTCGGCGTAATGTGTTCTTTGGTCTTCCTTTCCTCCTTCGGCCTTCAGGATTCCATGTGAGGGCTTGTCTTGTGACGCAGTTCGGTGCTTTCCTCAATGTGTATCCTATCCACTTCCAGTGCTTCTTCCTGAATTCTTCCTCCACTGGGATCTGATTTGTTCTCTCCCACAGTACTTACTTACTTACTTACTTACGCCTGTTACTCCCAATGGAGCATAGGCCGCCGACCAGCATTCTCCAACCCACTCTGTCCTGGGCCTTCTTTTCTAGTTCCATCCAATTCTTGTTCATTTTTCTCATATCTATCTCCATTTCCCGGCGTAATGTATTCTTTGGTCTTCCTCTCCTCCTTCGACCTTGAGGATTCCATATGAGGGCTTGTCTTGTGACGCAGTTGGGTGTTTTCCTCAATGTGTGTCCAATCCACTTCCAGCGCTTCTTCCTGATTTCTTCCTCCACTGGGATCTGATTTGTTCTCTCCCATAGTAGGTTGTTGCTAATAGTGTCCGGCCAGCGGATCTGAAGTATTTTGCGTAGACAACTGTTAATAAACACCTGTATCTTTTGGATGATGGATTTCGTAGTTTTCCAGGTTTCCGCGCCATACAGTAGAACTGTCTTCACATTTGTATTGAAAATTCTGACTTTGGTGTTCGTTGCTAATTGTTTTGAGTTCCAGATATTCTTCAGTTGTAGATATGCTGCTCTTGCTTTGCCGATCCGTGCCTTCACATCTGCATCAGATCCACCGTGTTCATCGATGATACTGCCCAAATATGTAAAGGTTTTTACATCTTCCAAAGCTTCTCCGTCAATTGTGGTACATGTTGTGTTGTATCGAAGAATCTTGCTTTTCCCTTTGTGTATATTGAGACCTATTGCTGCTGAGGCTGCAGCTACACTGGTTGTCTTCTCCTGCATTTGTTGTTGTGTATGCGATAGAAGAGCCAGATCATCTGCGAAGTCTAGATCATCCAATTGCATCCTAGCTATCCACTGTATCCCGTGCTTCCCTTCAGATGTTGACGTCTTCATGATCCAGTCGATCACCAGGAGAAAGAGAAAGGGTGAGAGTAAGCAACCTTGCCTAACACCAGTCTTTACTTCGAACGACTTTGTCAACTGTCCTCCATGCACGATTTTGCAGTTTAATCCATCATAGGAATTCTGTATGATATTGATTATCTTCTGAGGCACGCCGTAGTGTCGAACAAGCTTCCATAGGGTTGTTCTGTCCACGCTATCAAATGCTTTTTCGTAGTCGATGAAGTTGATGTAGAGTGATGAATTCCATTCAATTGATTGTTCCACAATGATCCGTAGAGTTGCGATTTGGTCTGTGCACGATCTATCCTTACGGAATCCTGCCTGTTTGTCTCGAAGTTGGACGTCTACGGAGTCCTTCATCCTGTTTAACAGTACCCTGTTGAAGACTTTTCCTGGTATTGAAAGAAGAGTGATTCCCCTGTAGTTGTCACAGTTGCTGAGATCGCCTTTCTTTGGTATTTTGACCAGAAGTCCTTCTTTCCAGTCTTGGTACCTGTTCCTCATCCCAGATCTTTCTGAAGAGAATGTGGAGTATCCTTGCAGTTGCCGCTACGTCTGCTTTCAGTGCCTCTGCTGGAATGCTGTCTAGTCCTGCTGCTTTGCCACTCTTGATTTGTCTGATAGCCATGCTGATTTCTTCAATTGTCGGTGCGCCAACATCAATTGGGAGGTCCGTGAGTGCTGCTTCGATGTTGGGTGGGTTCAGTGGGGCTGGTCGATTCAAGAGTTCTTTGAAGTGTTCTATCCATCTGTTTCGTTGTTCTTCAATGTTGATGATTATCTTGCCTTCCTTGCTTTTCACTGGTCGTTCTGGTTTACGGTGATTTTCAGAGAGTTTCTTTGATGTGTCATACAGTTGTCTCATGTTTCCTTCTCTGGCAGCCTTTTCCGCCGTCAATGCCAAATCCTCCACATATTTACGTTTGTCAGTTCTGATGCTCCTTTTCACTTGCTTGTTTACTTCTGTGTATTCAGCCTGTGCCTTGACTTTTTCTGCTCTTGTTCGACTGGTATTGATTGCTGCTTTCTTGTTCCTCCTTTCTTGAATCTTATCCAGTGTATCGACCGTGAGTAGACAGCCTTGTCTTACTCCGGTCCTTACTTGGAATGCGTCTGTCAGCTGTCCTCCATGCACTACTTTGCACTGTAGTCCGTCGTATGAGTTCCGGATAATGTTGACAATCTTCTCAGGAACTCCGTAGTGTCGAAGAAGTTTCCATAACGTCCTCCTATCTACACTGTCAAATGCCTTCTCATAATCAATGAAGTTGATGTAGAGTGACGAGTTCCACTCAATTGATTGTTCGACGATGATCCGTAGTGTCGCAATCTGGTCTGTGCACGACCGGTCCTTACGGAATCCAGCTTGTTGATCTCGAAGTTGAGCGTCAACTGCGTCTTTCATCCTGTTCAGTAACACTCTGTTGAAGACTTTACCTGGTATTGACAGTAGTGTAATGCCTCTGTAGTTTTCACACTTGCTCAGATCTCCTTTCTTTGGAATCTTGATGAGGTGTCCTTCTTTCCAATCCATCGGCACTTGTTCCTCCTCCCAAATCTTCTTGAATAGAAGATGAAGCATGCTTGTAGTTACTTCGATGTCTGACTTCAACGCTTCAGCTGGTATATTGTCAGGTCCTGCTGCTTTCCCGCTCTTGATTTGTCTGACGGCCATTCTGATTTCTTCTGTCGTTGGTGGGTTGACATCTATAGGAAGATCTGTGTGTGCTGCTTCGATGTCCGGTGGATTCATTGGAGCCGGCCTATTCAGGAGTTCCTCGAAGTACTCTGCCCATCTATTCCGCTGTTGTTGAATCTCAGTGATCGGTCTTCCTTCTTTGTCTTTGACTGGTCTCTCTGGTTTACTGTATTTCCCTGCAAGCTTCTTCGTCGTATCGTAAAGCTGTCTCATATTTCCTTCTCTTGCAGCTTTTTCCGCCGTCGTTGCTAGTTCTTCCACGTATTTTTGCTTATCAGCTCTAATGCTCTTCTTCACTTTCTTGTTTGCTTCTATGTACTCTGCTTGTGCTTGGACTTTCTCTGCTCTTGTTCGACTGTTGTTAATTGCTGTCTTCTTGTTCTTTCTTTCTTTGATCCTGTCCAGTGTTTCTGTAGAGATCCATTCCTTGTGATGATGTTTCTTGGGGCCCAGAACCTCTTGACACGTTGAAGGTAATGTTTCTTTGATACCTTTCCAGCTATCCTCCATAGTAGTTTCTTCTTCCTTCAGTAGATCCTGTAAGGCTTGGAACCTGTTGTTGAGAGCTACCTTGAATTCATTGAGTTTGTCAGTATCTCGAAGGAAGGCTGTATTGAACCTTTGTGGTGCTGTTTGTCCAGTTGTCCAGTTCTTCTTTAGCTTCAGTTTCAATTTGGCCACAACTAGGTGATGATCTGAAGCTATGTCCGCTCCTCTCCTGGTTCTCACATCTTCCATTGTCCTTCGGAACTTTTTATTGATGCAAATATGATCTATTTGGCTATCTTTGGTGTGGTCCGGTGAGATCCATGTAGCTTTGTGTATACGTTTGTGTGGAAATGTTGTACCGCCTATGACCAATTTTTTGAATGCACACAGATTTGCAAATCTTTCGACGTTTTCGTTTCTCTCTCCCAGTCCATGTAGTCCCATGATGTCTTCATATCCGGTGTTGTCTATTCCGACTTTGGCATTTAGATCTCCCATCAGAATGGTGATGTCCCTTCTTGGGCACTTCTCTATGATTGATTGCAGCCTCTCGTGGAATTGATCTTTGATGTCGTCGTTGCTATTATTGGTGGGTGCATAACATTGGATAATGTTCATTGTGATCCCCTCCTTCTTTGTTTTGAATGATGCTTCGATGATTCTGGATCCGTGAGATTCCCATTCGTACAAGTGCATTTCGTACTACTTTGGACAGCATTAGAGCAACTCCCTGAGTGTGTGGAGCATTTTCCTCTTCGTGACCGGAGTATAGCAGCATCTCTCCCGTATTTTGCCTTTGTCGTCCAGCTTGGCTCCAATGGGTTTCGCTGATTCCAAGTACTGCCAAGTTGTATCTCCTCATTTCCGCTGCTATTTGACTGATCTTCCCGGACTCCCACATTGTGCGAGCATTCCATGTACCTAAGTAAATAGTTGCTCTGGTTGTCAGAAGGGGCATCGGCCTCGTGACTTCCGAAGAAACTCGCCTTTCATCATGAGGCGTCATAATTCTTCTAAACGAAGACCTCCTGACTCCCAGGGCAGAGTTTAAATTGTTTGAGTTATTTTTTCTGGTTAGCGTTTTTTTAGCGAGTTAATATTCTACAGGATGGGGATGCTAACCCCATGCCCAACCCTCCTCCTTTACCCAGGCTTAGGAACGGCAGTAACTCTAGGAGAGCTACAGGCGGAGTTACGATTTTATTAGATGTCAAGAAAATAGTTGTTTTCTCCTCTTTAATAACCTCATTAAGCGTCCATTCGTATTTATTCATATTTTTCCGCCTGTATGTTTGTTTGTCGAAGTCTTGAAACGAATACAATGTGGACTTAGTGCTGTTCAGCGAATGGAAGGTTGATCATATCTGAGGGATTTTTTAAAAAGCTGTCGGTGACGTGTAACTAACTGACTTCTGATAACCATCATATCATATCCATAGTGAACAGATAAATTATCTAATTGTCGATTCTCGTGGGTTATTGTTCCAAACATACTCAGGTACGGCCGAGAGTGGGAAGAGTCCGCTCTCCCTCTCGAAATGCTCTCATATGGCCACGCGTATACAGCCTCTGCCAGGGAAGTCCTACTCACTGCCTTCTCGTGGCGGGGGTGTTGTTTACAAAAATAAGGAGACGAAAAGCGAATGTCCGGCGCTTTAACCGGATCTCAAATCAATGGTGTACATGGGCACCAGTATCCTGCGGGAACAAATGGCGTATGAACCAATCGTTGGTCACCGGCTTCCATGGGACTGCATCTCCTCACGATGCTCCACTGCCTTGTGGATTAGATCTTCAGGTCAAAGGCTCGGGGTGTGGCCCCCTAAGAAAACCACCTGCTTCGGTTTGGGCACCCGAGCAGTATCACAGCCCTCACACATATCAAATGAGATCTGTGTGGCGCATATGTATTTGGTGCCTTCTTGTACCGATATCTATATGTTAAAATAAAATAAATAAAAATAAAGTGTTTTCGTATAGCTCTAACTTTTTTAGAGTCTGTCTTTTGTAAGTATAGAGACAATGTCGGAAAATATTCAACGAATTCGCAGATGATTTTCAGCTAGTTTCATCATGTCACAGTAAGGACAGAAGGCCAGCTAATATTTGAAAATTTTTTTATTCCATGATAGGTCCTAAAATTGTAAAATTGATGTCATCATCCTCCGAAACGGACACAAAGCCTCGATAAAAGCAAATCACCTTTGATTGAACCTTGTTCCTATATCTGGTAGCTCCTACCTTCAGTCAGCTATTAGACATATTAGTGCCAAAGATAAACAGTCGTTAAGGTGTTGTGACCGCTCTAATTTCGACATTTGAATATAGGTTAGGCATAGCAGAATGGGAGTGGTTATTTCAGAAGTCAAAAACATCAGTCTGCATGCCATATGTCTTTTCAAAATATTATCACATTAACCAGTTTAATTTCTTTTTGTTTAGTCTACCAGATATACCAGCGGATACTTTCACAGAGAATGGATTTACATACAAATTCTGTGTTTATGACGTTCCATCCGGACAGTTTATGTAATTTAAATTTATTAGTAGATATCATGTAATCAAATATTTAGTCTTAAAATTTTTGATTTTAAATACAAATCGTTTTATACCTCCCATTTATTTTTATAATACTTCACATAAACCATGACAATTCAAAGAAAATATTTTGTTAGATTAATCTATTTATCATCGCGGTTCTCTGGTAGTCTAACAAACATAGGAAGCCAAATAATATTAAACAAATATCATTAAGCTCTTTAGATATGGATCTCTACAAAATATCTCTGAATAGAAATCAGTATCATCAGATCCCGCTTGTTGCGATTTATTTGCCGTCCATAATTCATGGAGTTAGTTCAACTAATTCACAATAATTAAGAGATTTCAACTACCTCCGATAGCTGCTTATTATTATCATTGCGATCCTCGGGTCTTCTTTATAGGTTTCTTAGTGGATCACTAGGTAAAATACGGATTATAATCCCATACACGGAGTATAATTTTCTCATTTGTAGACCAACTTAAGCTTGGGTTGTGTTAGTGGGACATAGATTGGATTTAAGCATGCTCAATGCACGATTGCTTTGGCTCACGCTGATTGGCTGATTCTTATCCAATCAGCGCTAGTCGATACAAGGAGAAGATTCTTCTTATGTAAAAAGCTATAAATATACTAACGGTTTTCCTATTTTGCTTCTTGCTTCCACCTAACCTTGTTATTTGGAATATAATCTCCTTCCTGCTCAATCGTGTTCTGATTTGGGGCCTTGTCGAGTGAATCTGTGTCCGTGAATACTAAGCAATAGGCATAGCTGGGTTATAACCGTAAGAGCGAAAATATAACAGTGGCGACGAGGAAAAAGGAAAATACATTCAATATGTCCATATCAGATGACCAACTTAACCGAATACTACAACAACAGCAACAAAATTAGATGCCCAAATGCGGTTGTTAGAGACTCTGACTCAACAGCTTAGCTTCCACTGCTCGAGTTCACATGCCATTTCAAGTACGTCTTGTGATGCAGTTGCTAGCAGCATACCAGAATTCATCTATGATCCCGAAAGCGGAAATACTTTTCTCACGTGGTTCAAACGTTGGGAAGATACATTTAGAATAGAATTTTGTAACCAAGACGACGCGTGGAAGACTCGATTGTTGGTACGTAAGTTGGGAATTAATGAACATGCACGCTATGCTGACCATATATTTTCAAAGTTACCTCGAGGTCTCAGTTTCGAGGAGACGATAATTCAATTGTCAGAGATATTCGGTGAATCCTCCTCATCGTTTAGTATTCGACACCAGTGTCTAAATTTGGTGAAACGCGAAGGCGATGAATATGGTGTTTTAGCAGACATCGTCAACAGAGAATGTGAACGGTTCAAGTTACGTTCATTGACAGAAGACCAATTTAAATGCCTAATATTTATCAAAGCTCTTCAGTCACCACAAGATGCTGAGATCAGGACTAGACTTTTGGCTCGACTAGATCAAGACCCAAACGTTACACTCAGAACGTTGACAGATGAGTGTAAGCGGCTACAAAGCATCAGACACGACAACGAGTTGATTGAACAGGTAAATCCTAATTTAACCTGCAGTAGTGTCAATGCTATTACTAGGTTAAAAGTTAAGAAGCCAATAACAACTCGTAATAAACCAACGACTGCATGCTGGTTATGTGGTGATTGGCATTATGTACGATTCTGTCCATTTAAGAAGCATATGTGTCAGGTGTGCAACAAACGTGGACATAAAGAAGGTCATTGTCCACCGAACCATACGTCTCATCCCCAAAAGAAGCATAAACGTTCTCGACATGTGAAATCAGCCGAGTTTAAAATTCTTTCTCTGGTAGCTGCCTTTCAAACAAACTATGACATTCGGAGAAAGTATGTTACCATCCAGATAAACGGCATATCAGCTCGTCTTCAAATTGACACGGCATCAGATATCACCTTAGTATCTACGGAAACGTATAACTTGCTGGGTAAACCGCCAATGAAGCCATCTAAGAAAACGGCCAAAAACGCATCAGGTGGTGTGCTAAAACTGGTTGGTGAATTACAGTGTGAATTTTCCTTCAATGGAACTAACTGTACAGGAATATGTTACCTAACAGAACGGCCAAACCTTGATCTTCTTGGTCTAGATATGTTAGATAAACTTGGAATAAAGGATGTACCGATTAACAGTGTCTGCAACGTATTGTGTTCATCATTAGACACCCCAGTACTTGCAAAGAAGGCAGGTGAAAGGTTACTAGAAAAACTGAAAAGAAAGTTTGCCTCTGTTTTTCAGAATAGCCTTGGCCACTGTACCAAGATGAAAGCTCATTTACCACTGAAACCAGATGCCAAACCTATTTTTCGTCCTAGACGTCCTGTACCATATGCTCCTCTTGAGTTAGTCGATCAGGAACTTAATCGCTTGCAACAGGCTGGTGTAATCCAACCAGTCAACTACTCTGCATGGGCCGCACCGATCGTAGTGATTAAGAAGGCGAATGGAATGTGCCGATTTCTCGACCGGTTTAAATGCTGCATTAGATGTGTATCAATATCCGTTACCAGTTCCTGAAGACCTGTTTGCCAAACTTAATGGTGGGACATGTTTCGCGAAAATAGACTTTTCCGATGCCTATCTGCAAGTAGAAGTAGATGAAGACAGTAGAGAGCTTTTGACCATTAACACTCATCGAGGGTTATTTCAATACACCCGTCTACCATTTGGCATCAAGACTTCACCTGCCATCTTTCAGCAAATAATGGATACGATGCTAACAGGTATACCTGGTACAGCAGGTTATCTAGATGATATCATAGTTATGGGTTCAACTGACAATGAACTTTCTGATCGACTACATCAAGTCCTTAACCGAGTGTTGGAATATGGTTTCCAACTACGTGAGGAAAAGTGTATTCTCTTTATGCATTCCATCAAATACCTTGGTTTTATCTTAGATAAGAACGGTCGCCGACCAGACCCTGCCAACATCGAAGCCATTCAGAAGATGCCTGCACCAACTGATGCCTCTTCATTAAGATCCTTCTTGGGGTTAATCAGTCATTATAGCACATTCTTGCCTGAAATGCATCGAGTGAGAGGTCCCCTGAATGAATTACTATCAAAAGATAAACCTTGGCAGTGGTCAGCAGAATGTCAAGCATCTTTCGAGAGAGTCAAATCAATGCTCAGCTCAAAGATTCTTTTAACACACTTCGATCCCAGCTTGGAAATTGTTGTTGCATCTGATGCATCTAGTCATGGAGTTGAAGCAGTGATATCTCACGTGTTTCCGGACAAATCAGAAAAGACAATTGTCCATGCTGCTAGATCACTTACCCCAGCCGAGCGGAACTACAGTCAAATTGAAAAGGAAGCTCTTGCGATCCTTTTCGCTGTCAAAAGATTTCATAAAATGCTCTATGGTCGTACATTTACTCTACTGACAGACCACAAACCTTTGATTGCAATCTTTGGTTCTAAGAAAGGAATCCCTGTCTATACGGCTAATAGACTACAGCGCTGGGCAACAATGCTCCTGAGTTATGATTTCAATACCAAGTATCAGTCGACAAATAATATCGGTCAAGCCGACGCTCTCTCTCGATTAATTGGGGTTCAGCATCCTGGACCAGAGGATATAATCATTGCCTCCATAGCAGTAGACCCAGAAATACGAAATATAGTGGCAGATGCCATTCGAAACACTCCAGTGTCGTCAGATGAAGTCAGAGAAGAAACTCTTCGAGACCCGATTCTACAAGAAGTTAGAAAGTTCCACCTGGAAGGATGGCCCGCGAAGATCAGTTCCACAGAGCTTCAACAGCTTTACCAGCGTAGACTCTTTCTCAATCATCGACGACTGCCTGCTGTTTGCCGAACGTGTCATAATCCCAAAGAAGCTACAACCAGCAGTGCTTGAACAGTTGCACGCAGGACATCCTGGAATAAATCGCATGAAAGCATTAGCACGAAGTTATGTATGCTGGCCGCATTTAGACACCCAACTGGAGCAGCTATCCCGTTCATGTACCAAATGTGCATTAGCAACGAAAGCACCGCGAAAAGCAGAGCTGCAATCATGGCCAATACCACAGTCACCGTGGCAGCGTATACACTTGGACTTTGCTGGTCCACTTCATGGACAAACTTACCTTTTGGTAGTTGATGCATATAGCAAGTGACCAGATAGACAGCAACGAGATTCAATATCGATTACCTCTTGATGTTATGCTAGACACCTTTGAAATCAAAACGCCTGGAACAGACAGGTCAGTTTCTGTTCAAGCAAAGAGTGATACTTCTTTATTGCCTAGACGATGGACAAATCGAAAGCACAGGCCAGTCACTCGGTTGCAGTTGGACCCTAGCACCAGATCCTACGAATCTGCTCAAAGGGGAGGTGTTAGTGGGACATAGATTGGATTTAAGCATGCTCAATGCACGATTGCTTTGGCTCACGCTGATTGGCTGATTCTTATCCAATCAGCGCTAGTCGATACAAGGAGAAGATTCTTCTTATGTAAAAAGCTATAAATATACTAACGGTTTTCCTATTTTGCTTCTTGCTTCCACCTAACCTTGTTATTTGGAATATAATCTCCTTCCTGCTCAATCGTGTTCTGATTTGGGGCCTTGTCGAGTGAATCTGTGTCCGTGAATACTAAGCAATAGGCATAGCTGGGTTATAACCGTAAGAGCGAAAATATAACAGGTTGTGGCCGTGATAATCTCAAATCCTGCCGGTGCATAACGCACGCCTTCTTTTAACCCCATATTTAATCCTAAATAAGAGAACACAGAAAGCGGGAAAGCTATCTTTATTCACCCAGTCATTGTGCCTCGAACATTCATGAGTTTATGTACATAAATCATCAAACTGCAAATGAGAAATCGTAGTTTATGCACAAACAAGCCCAGGATGGTAGAGCAATGGGCCAAGTTGTAAATAATTAATTAACAGTAATGTAGGAGTAGTAAAACGCTTAACAATAATTATTGAGTCCAACAGAATCTTACAGTATAGGGGATATAGAAACATGCTCACCAAGTTATTTGCTAATCACGAATCGATCTTAGCTAGAACCCCACTGAAAACCTGGAAGTATTGGCAGCTGTTTAGGTATGAACTCACATCCAAGAATCAGAGCCGGGGCCTGTCTTAGGCACGAAGGCTTAGCCTCTAGACCATGGGGCCCGCATGGGAAGACGTTGATGTATAACACCAGTCATTTTGCGATATGAAAATAAAGTTATATAAATCTCCGTAAAATAATTTCGCTGTTATAACCACTATACTGTCATACATCAGTCTGTAAATTCTTCACTTCAATTTCGTGGTTGTTTATCACTGCAAAGAGGTATTACTTTCTAATGAAATGTCCATGTGGTGCTGCGTGAAGTCAGGTCCTTGATGTGGCACTTGACACTTTGTCGTCATCATGTATCGAAAATACCTTGATTATACCATAGGACTTTTAACTCTGAAAATTAAATCAGCAATAAGTGCATTAACTATTCATTACATTAGTACTAAGAATATCCAAACAACTCCAAGTCTTTCATAACCATAAGTGGCATGTGAGGGACTTTACATAGTATTGAATACGAATTTGGCTATTTTCAAGTGATCATGTCATCCGATCAAAACACTACTATTAACACGACCTAAATCTCTTATTTACACTAAATTGTACATTCAGTTATATATATATATATATATATATATATATATATATATATATATATATATATATATATATATATATATATATAAACTCCCAAACGTATGCCATGAGATTACAAAATATTGGGAATCCACCTTTCTGTCTATTGATTTTAAAAATTTTCCACTTAGCGACATTGATAAACTGACTGAAACTTGAATGGTCGCTCTATAGGCAGTAGAGATTATAATTTTGGTTCATCTGATTCAATGAGCAGGTAATGAAAATGAAGAAGTGAACCTATGACAACGATGTTCGCCATGTTTTATGAGTTAACTTAGTTGATTTGGCAGGACCTCATTTGCACAAAGCAGATGTTTGGAAAAAAATCCAGTTAACTACTCAGTCAACTTTACTAAATTACAAGGTCACAACAAGCAGTGAGTTGTTATCGGAAATGTAATAATTATAATTATTATATTCACAAGAACAGTTTAAACGTTTGGTTATTAGTTATTTCACTTGTGGCACAATAATGGAAATAAAAACAATGTGAACCATAAAATACGTCAGACAGAATAACAATATTGTTGAGAAATTCAAGTCTGATAATCTTGTAAGTTACAACCATACCAAGTATAAGAGCAATTCGAACAGCTTGGACGAGATTCAATTTTTTCGTCAGCTAATCTTATTGGTTATAAAAAATATAAATAGAAAACCAAATCCAGATTAACACAAGCTTTGCTCTGTTATGCTTCAAGTGACCGAGAAATACGATTCTTGCAAACACATTTAGTGAGACGTGATGAATCAATAACGAAATAGGTCGAGACTGATTTTGTTTCATGCATTTAGTTCCCCTTATTATCCTGAAGAATGTAAGAACAAAGAATTGAGCAAAATATGAATTCACTTCATTTCGTTAGATTCTCATCAGCTGCTTACAACTTCTATTTCACAAAATCAAAATCATTGTGAAGTTTACATACTTATAAGTGGTGGAGCGATGAGTTTGAAGACATCTAGTGTTGAGAATGCTTAGGAGGTGATGCATTTAAAACAAGGGGAAAAAGTGCAAAAATGATGTAGTAAACTGGCGACAAAATAGCCATGGTGAGGAAACATTTGCAACCATTTCCTTTTGGATACTTAATCCCGACCTAAGTCGACTACAGCTTCGGTGAGTTTGAGTATCGACTGATGACGCTGAAAGATTTCAGTGTATCAACCTGATGTCTTGTGTTATAGATGTCTTGCAATACCACTGCTAAAAGCCATTACTCTCATTGACCTGAGATTTTCGGGATATCTTCTTGAAATCGAACGCAGGCCCTTCTTTCTGTTCAATCAATGTAACTGCTTGGTAGGTAAATGTAAATTGGTATGCATAGTTGGTTTGTAACACAGAAGGGGTACCTTTCAAACTTTGACAGGAGTGAGGAACACATTGTTTTGTGAAGAATAATCCGCTTGTAAGATAAGTCCTATTAAATGTGGTTTTAATCTCAATATTATTGGTTCAACATCGTCACCTTTGAATTGAAGTTGAATGGAAATCGGTTTCTTTTCTGCCGTAGTTTCTTGGGCATTTTGTCTTTACATATCCCATATTTCACAATAAATTTCTTTGGATACCCATTCTTTTCTAAGCATTTTTAACTTTCATTAATTTTACTCGTGTATCGATACTACATATCTGCTCCATTCTGTTTTGTAACTAATCAGACAAAAGCTGTTAAGATTTAAATGAACACCATCCGATGTATCTTTTTGATAAACTGAATGTTGAACTGTTAAGAAAGTGGAATTTATCGTCTTTTTCCGGTCCCATGGTAAATGGTCTATTTTTATTAGCGTCGGTGACAAGTTTTAGATGAATTCACTTCATTTCGTTAGATTCTCATCAGCTGCTTACAACTTCTATTTCACAAAATCAAAATCATTGTGAAGTTTACATACTTATAAGTGGTGGAGCGATGAGTTTGAAGACATCTAGTGTTGCGAATGCTTAGGAGGTGATGCATTTAAAACAAGGGGAAAAAGTGCAAAAATGATGTAGTAAACTGGCGACAAAATAGCCATGGTGAGGAAACATTTGCAACCATTTCCTTTTGGATACTTAATCCCGACCTAAGTCGACTATAGCTTCGGTGAGTTTGAGTATCGACTGATGACGCTGAAAGATTTCAGTGTATCAACCTGATGTCTTGTGTTATAGATGTCTTGCAATACCACTGCTAAAAGCCATTGCTCTCGTTGACCTGAGATTTTCGGGATATCTTCTTGAAATCGAACGCAGGCCCTTCTTTCTGTTCAATCAATGTAACTGCTTGGTAGGTAAATGTAAATTGGTATGCATAGTTGGTTGTAACACAGAAGGGGTACCTTTCAAACTTTGACAGGAGTGAGGAACACATTGTTTTGTGAAGAATAATCCGCTTGTAAGATAAGTCCTATTAAATGTGGTTTTAATCTCAATATTATTGGTTCAACATCGTCACCTTTGAATTGAAGTTGAATGGAAATCGGTTTCTTTTCTGCCGTAGTTTCTTGGGCATTTTGTCTTTACATATCCCATATTTCACAATAAATTTCTTTGGATACCCATTCTTTTCTAAGCATTTTTAACTTTCATTAATTTTACTCGTGTATCGATACTACATATCTGCTCCATTCTGTTTTGTAACTAATCAGACAAAAGCTGTTAAGATTTAAATGAACACCATCCCATGTATCTTTTTGATAAACTGAATGTTGAACTGTTAAGAAAGTGGAATTTATCGTCTTTTTCCGGTCCCATGGTAAATGGTCTATTTTTATTAGCGTCGGTGACAAGTTTTAGATGAATTCACTTCATTTCGTTAGATTCTCATCAGCTGCTTACAACTTCTATTTCACAAAATCAAAATCATTGTGAAGTTTACATACTTATAAGTGGTGGAGCGATGAGTTTGAAGACATCTAGTGTTGCGAATGCTTAGGAGGTGATGCATTTAAAACAAGGGGAAAAAGTGCAAAAATGATGTAGTAAACTGGCGACAAAATAGCCATGGTGAGGAAACATTTGCAACCATTTCCTTTTGGATACTTAATCCCGACCTAAGTCGACTATAGCTTCGGTGAGTTTGAGTATCGACTGATGACGCTGAAAGATTTCAGTGTATCAACCTGATGTCTTGCAATACCACTGCTAAAAGCCATTGCTCTCGTTGACCTGAGATTTTCGGGATATCTTCTTGAAATCGAACGCAGGCCCTTCTTTCTGTTCAATCAATGTAACTGCTTGGTAGGTAAATGTAAATTGGTATGCATAGTTGGTTGTAACACAGAAGGGGTACCTTTCAAACTTTGACAGGAGTGAGGAACACATTGTTTTGTGAAGAATAATCCGCTTGTAAGATAAGTCCTATTAAATGTGGTTTTAATCTCAATATTATTGGTTCAACATCGTCACCTTTGAATTGAAGTTGAATGGAAATCGGTTTCTTTTCTGCCGTAGTTTCTTGGGCATTTTGTCTTTACATATCCCATATTTCACAATAAATTTCTTTGGATACCCATTCTTTTCTAAGCATTTTTAACTTTCATTAATTTTACTCGTGTATCGATACTACATATCTGCTCCATTCTGTTTTGTAACTAATCAGACAAAAGCTGTTAAGATTTAAATGAACACCATCCCATGTATCTTTTTGATAAACTGAATGTTGAACT